ACATCTAGAGAAGAAACGTCTGTGATAAACCAACTTATAATGGTACTACCACACAGGGATACCTGCCATATGGAGTGATATGGTTGCTATTTTGTGTGTGCTTTTCACTTATTGTCTCATGTGTTTCCGTCCATACTCATATTCACTCAGTAAACAGACTTAGCAAGAGGAAAGCGGAGTGACAGGCAGAGCCCCATGAGGCAGGATTTTGTTTAGCTCTCGTTCTCCAGTACCCAGTACAGAGTAGGGACTCAATAAATATTTGTCGAATGAATGCATAGGTTCTAGTCCAGGGGGGAATACAGATTAGTAAACAGCCAACGAAAAGACAGTATTCTCCGTGCAGTAATAGGGATGGGAACACTCAAAACAGAAATGGGACGCCTAAGACTGCAAGAAAGCTCCTAGAAGACATCCCCAAGGATGCTATGCTTGAGCTAAATGTTGAGAATAAATAGAAGCTTTCCAGGCAAAGGAGGTGGCAGAGGCAAAAGTTCAGGCTTAAGGAAGAGCAGGGCTTATTGAAGAAGCTGCAAGCTGTTTTTTCTGGCTTCAAGCATGAGCAGAGGAGGCTAGAAAGACTAGGTCTAGATCAAAGATCTTGGGAGCCCTACTAAGGACTTTTAGATTTTATCTGAAGAGAGTGTCTTCACGAAGACAATCAGATTTAGATTTTAAAATTTATTTTTATTTTATTTTGAGAGAGAGAGAGAGTGTGTGTGTGTGTATGGGGGAGGAGCATAGAGGGAGAGAGAGAATTCCAAGCAGGCTCCACACTCAGCACAGAGCCCAACGCGGGACTTGATCCCACAACCATGAGATTATGACCTGAGCAGAAATCAAGAGTCCAATGCTTAACCAACTGAGCCGCGCAGGCACCCCAGCAGATTTGTATTTTAAAAGATGCACAAGAACACTTAGTTGCCAGTCTTTATTTTGAAAGTAATAGCAATTTTGTATGTGCATTACAAGAATTAATTCATTTAATTCTTATAACAATCTATGGAGTCATTACTGTTATTGTCTCCATTTTGTAGTTGAGGAAACTGAGGCACAGAGAAGTTAAGTAATTCGCCCAAGGTGACTCGGTTATTGGTGGAACTGATATATAAACTCAAGCAGTCTGTATCCAAAGCCCATGCCCTTTTCCTGTATTCTGTACTACTTTTGTTTGTGTTGTTTAAGAACATACTTGTTTTCTTAAGAAAAGGGAATCAAAATTTTTTTCCATGTAATTTTTCCCGTATCGCCTACCAACCAAGATAGAATGTTCTTTGACCTTGCAAATAGAATCATTCAGCAGTTTAGTAGTCTGCCTGTCTTTTCCAGTCCCCTCTTACCATACAGCTGCTTCTTTATCTCCTTTAGTCTTGCTTCTTGTCTCCCTCCCCTCCCTTTCTGGATAAGCTTTAACCCATTTGGCTTCCAGGGTACCCAGTGTAGCCCCAGCCAAGAGAGAGAGGCCAGCTGGGCGATGAAGTTGCAGGGGGAGTCGTCTGAGACTTCACCTTCCAGAATCAAAGGTGCACAGACCACAGATCTCAAAAAAAAATGGGAGAGGGGGCAGAGTACTCAATATGATCACCTTTCACTCACTTGTAAATAATCATGATGGCTGTTCAGTCAACAAGCATTTAGTGAATAGCTTCTCTTTGCTCCTGAAACTGTGTTGGGAGGCAGAGGTGAGGCCAGGAGGTAGAGGTGGGAGAAGAGGACGTTGTACTGCCCCTTGCCAATCAATGGTCTTTCAGTCTTGCACTTTCATTCAGGCTAGTATTTCATAGCTAGTATTGTGTCAAAGTGATGACATTTTTGTTAAACAGACGAGATGATGTGGTTTAGAGGTCTAGTTAATGAAGAGCATTATAAACCAACTCTCACCCCCATTATTTTCCATTGACCCCACCCTGTAAATCCTGTTCCTCAGCCTCAGGGAACCTCTAATAGATGCATCAATGGTATTTGGGAGAATTAAGTGCTTAAAATCATCCAGCCCTGTGCCGTAAGCATGAACATGCTCCTCTTCTCAAAAATTCAAATTTTTGCTGTGAACAAGGCAAAAAGTGTAGAAGACTTAAAATTTAATTTACTTATCCACTGATAAATTTTGTGGATCTTCTTTAGTAAGAGGAGGAAGACCAATAGAGGATAATATCAAAGGCGGATGAAGATTTGGGAAGGTAGTAACAATGTAGAAACCTAAAGTGATGGGAATTTTTTCTTCTTTTTTAGAAAGAAATTGTTAGAGAAACAAGTAATGCATGTTTGGAAACTGTTATTACGTCCCTGACATATCTGTATCCATGAAATATGAAACCTTTGTAAGGAGATTTGTTTTTACTTAGGATCGTAATTATAAATACACTACAAAGAGTGGGTCTCATTCCATTAAATTCTCTGTGATAGTAATTTGCTGCTTATGTATTGCATAGTTTTGACTCACTAACCTACAATCTTAATTTTCTTCTATTCATCAAAAACATTTTAACATTGAGAACTACGTGGTTAACAACACTCGATGTTTAAATTCCCTCATTTTATACCTTTATGTTATTCCTTCATTTGTACATTAAACAAATTTCAGATTTGCATAAATTTGTGAAAGTGTATGCACAGTAATGTTCCTCACAGCATTGTTTATAAAAGCAGAAATTGAAAAGAGCCCAAATGTCTCTAGACCAGAAGTTGGTTATTCAGGTAAATGTTAAAAATGATTAAATCAATTTGTGATTATTGACATAAAAACTTATTTACCATATCATGTTTTAAGATGATAAAAGCAGTCTCTACATTAATCTTTTTTTAATTGTGTGTGTAGAGAAGAAGTTCAGGAAGATCTATGAATGTTAACAATACTTCTTTCTGAGTAAATTTGGAGATGGTCTTCACTTACAACTTTCTGTCTTATATGTATTGTTGGAGGTAGTTTTTATTATTAATTATTGCTTTTACAGTTAGCATGTATAATTTTACAGGTGGAAAAAAATGGTCTTTTTAAAATCAGACTTGAAAAGGTAAAAGGATCTCTGAAAGAAATGTAATGTTAAATTGTTTAAGCATACAAAGAAATTTTGCACAATGCATGTTAATTTTATCAGTTCTCCGCCTTGTGAGATTTTCCTTTCTTCCCCTACTAAAATAGTATTAACACTTGATATAAAACCTTTCCCTCCCACAGCTTCCTGCTCCGTGTCCTTCATCTGTCCCCTTCTTCTTCCTTTCAGCTGCAATGACAGACTTCTCTTGTTCCCGTATGCCCACACTGTGAGGATATGATTTGAGGCAGAACATTAACATCACTGGTCATTCTGACATTAAACCTGTCCTTTACCGTGACCATTGAGTTAGGAAGCACAGATGGGTCTTTAGTGCATTTCACTAATGGACATTCTGTTCAATTAAACACCTGTCTTCAGTGACGTAGATCTCAGCTCTTAAGAATACCTATGTTTTCACTAAGGTTTTGCATTCTAGACTGAGAAATTGGAGCAAGATGATTTTTTTGTGACTCAGACCTCTCTTCGTCCCTTTAGACTCTAAAGTCATTACTTAATCTGAACTGCAAGACTGCATTTTTTTTTTACAGTATCTTAGCCAGTTTCCAAGCATTTGGTATTCCTAGTTTTCATCTTCTTGAACCTGGTTGGTTTAGGCAATGGTTTCAGTTATAGGATTTGGGCAAGTGAAGAGAGGCAGAAGTTCTGAACAAACCCAAATAGTGGGTAGTCTATGAATTTGTTTGTGATATAAGTGAGCATAAGACACTGGCCTCTGCCTAGAATAATCATAACAAGCTGAACACAAATCCAAGAAAACATAAGCAAGGTTGTAAGCAGTGTCTTGTCAAGAAGGCTTTCAAAAGCTTCAGCAGCAGCACCCTCACCAGATCATTAAAAGGTGGTGTTTCTCTTGGACCTCTAATATTAAGAAGCTATCACCGTGAATGTCTTACTAGGCTAGAATTTCAGAATCTTCCCCATTTATCAGTTGTATTAGAGCATGGGCACACTTCCTTACTCTTTTCTTGTCTTTAACGTAGTGTTTGCTAATTTTTCTCCTTTTCCCTTTTGGTTCTTTCTTATCCACTTGCTCTAATACACCCAAATTCTCAACACCAAAAATAGAGGAAATAAAAATCAGATGAGAATGGAGGAAAAGGGGGTGCATTCTGGGGTCCCCAGAAACCTAAATTACTTTTTCTTAATTGCTCTGATTTTGGGGGGTCCTGTCTGGGTGGAGAGCAGGCTCCCGAGCAGTGTGTAGTAAGTGTGGGGGCTCCAGGCTCAGAGCCTGGCACCTCCACTTACTCCGTCTGGAGCAAGCGACTTACCCTCCTGTGTTTCACTTTCCTGGTGTGTCAGCTCCTCCGAGTTTTATGGAATTAGTATGTTTGTGTTAGGACGTGGTGTATCTGAATATTAGCTATTATTTAATATCTACCAGTATTTTTGTAATAAAGAGCTATATGGATTTTGACATTCCCCAGTTTGGAGGGAGAGGTAGTCCATGTTCCCCTGGGTCAGTGGGTCTCACTCGGGGCTGCTGCTTGATTGTGTTTGGCTGAGGCTCTTGAAGGCTCCCTCAGTGCAGGCCACCAGGGGGGCTAAGCCTCCGGGTGGAGGACTTAGCCAGGCCATCGCAACCACTTCCCGAAGAGTTCTCAGTGAAGAGTCTTATCTGAAAACGAGGGGAGGAGGATGGGAGACGTGCGGTGGGCACAGGGAGAGAGAATGAGACCTGTCAGGAAACATGACAGGAGCCATCAGTAAAGGCACAAGCAGACGACTCTTTGGGCAACTGGTGTGAGATGTGATCTATCACTGGCAGGGCATTTACAGGTCTTGCTAAAGCAACGTGGTTCCAGGGTAGAGAGCCGCTTTCCACCACCTCCCCGTCTGCTCCTTGAACGAGGCCTAGCTTTCCAGACACTCCTTTTCCCCAGCTCTGAAAGAGGAGGTGCTGCTGCTGTTTACTGACTCCCGGCTCTGCTTCCCTTCCAGCTGACCCTCTGGTGGGCAGCATCGCCACACAGTACATGACCAACAGAGCAGAGCACGACCGGATGGCCAGACAGTGGACCAAGCGGTATGCCACATAGGGGCCTGCTGGCTGCTGCCCCCGCCGGACCTGTGCAAGCACATTCACCAAGTGCATCAATAGCCCTACCCACCCCTCCGGACCTCGGTTCTGATCTTCTTATTTTTATTACATTTTGAACCTTTTTCTGATGGTGTGTCATCCATCCCCTGTCCCTTGTCCCTTCCTCCTCTTCCTCCTCTTCCTCCTCTTCCTCCTCTTCTCTCTCTCTTCCCTCCACCCCTGCCTTCTCAATTTATTCCCTTTTTTTGATTTCTATTAACTTGAAAGATTTGGGGTTTTTTTTTTCCCACCTCAACATGGATGGGAACTTTTGTTTTCAGTGCAAACAATGTCAGATCTGTAATAGTAAGAGCTTTCTTACAAAGCTTCGTATTACTGTGTGGTTTTGTTTTTTGTTGGTGTTTGTTTTATTTTGGTTTTTTTTCCTTTTATGTGATCTTTGGGAAAACACGAATTCAGAATTATATCTCATTTCTACTTAAATGTAGTGCTTAGGATTAATTTTTTGTACTGAAGTCTTTATTGGTGGGTGCATGCTACTGGGAACAAGTTTTTTGTACAAAAGCTTCAATCAGAATCACTGTGCATTACTGAGACTCTGTTTATCACTAGCCTTCTGTCTCCCACACAGAAGACTGTTGGATTGAACAAAATAATATGTATTTTGATTTACTTAAAGTGCTTGTAAATTTCTTAGGGACCTGCCACTTTTGACTGTGGATCAGTTGATGTACACTTGTATTATTAAAGCACTCAATAAATCACTGTGGCTGATAAATGCACTTCTGGTAACCCAGCGTTTGCTTTGTATCCTGGTGACCAGCATAGCCCTACGTGCAGCGAGGCTTGTCTAATTCAATTACAGATTCAAGTGTATTTTTCATCTCAGACCTCTAATATTTCTTTGTAGCTAAGTTGCTTACCATGTGGAATTTCTCCAGCTGTCAATAACCTGATGATTTTATGGTTGTTTCAGGTCACTGTCACTTTACATATTGGCCACACATTACTTTGTCATAGACCTCCTTTCTGTTACAACCTTCTTTACTTGACAATTAAAATACGGGACTCCAGGGGCGCCTGGGTGGCGCAGTCGGTTAAGCGTCCGACTTCAGCCAGGTCACGATCTCGCGGTCCTTGAGTTCGAGCCCCGCGTCGGGCTCTGGGCTGATGGCTCAGAGCCTGGAGCCTGTTTCCGATTCTGTGTCTCCCTCTCTCTCTGCCCCTTCCCTGTTCATGCTCTGTCTCTCTCTGTCCCAAAAATAAATAAACGTTGAAAAAAAAAAATTAAAATACGGGACTCCAAAAACAGCCTTCTAGTGGAAGTCAAGTCAGACTGATCATTGTGTTTAACCACTGTTGAATTTATTTCTCTCCCTTTTTCCTCTGAAGATTGTTGTCGTGATTACCCTTGAGTTTGGGTTTTGTTTTTTCTCTATAGTTATGGTGGGAGAAGTAAACTGTGTCAGTCATGGTCAACACATTCACTGACAAGGGTATGTATATCTGGCTTTAACCTTCAGACTATTTTAGGTATGTTTTGTTTTCTCGCATAATTTTAGTGGAAGAAATAAACTCAACTGTATCATTCATGGTCAATACATTTGTGACAAGGGTATGTCTGTCTCGCTTTGACCTTCAGACTATTTTAGGTATGCAGCTATAGAGGCAGAAGAAACTTGCGTGTGGTGCAGTTTGAAAAACATACCGATGGGGCGCCTGGGTGGCTCAGTCGGTTAAGCATCTGACTTTGGCTCAGGTCATGATCTCACAGTTTGTGAGTCCGAGCTCTGCGCTGGGTGAGCCCATGCCCCGTGTTCAATGAGCACAAGCCCCACTTGGGGTGAGACCCACTTCTCTCTCTCTCTCTATCTGCCCCTCATAGGATTCTCTCTCCCTTTCTCTCTCTCTCTCTGCCCCTCACTCACTTGGGCCCTCTCTCTCAAAAAAATAAAGAAAATTTAAAAATAAATAAATAAAATTTTAAAAATAAATAAAATATTTTGAAAAAAAAGAAGAACATACTGACCTGCTGACTGAAATTCAGGGTTCTCTGTGTTACAAGGCATATTGGAAAGTCCTGCTCTCACTAATCACAGTTATAAGCCCACCATAAAGCTTGGTCTCATTTGAGGAACATCTTTACTGCTAAATAGTGGGATTTACAAATGGAAGTCATTTACCTCTTAAATATTTCTGATTCAGATTTAAAATCTTTATTTGGAACAGATTTAAATATCTGATTCAAAAGATGCAGGTTTTTGTGGTTAAAAAGAAATCCTAAAGAAAATATTGTTTAAACATCGAAAAGGTAAGTTTTAAGCCAGAGTACATAGGGTATTTTTTGTCCTTCTAATAATGATTTTACCACTCATTTTATTTGAAAACATTTTCCTACAGACCATATGTGTGAATGGGCATAGCTGTATTCCAATAAAGCTTTATTTATCAAAATAATCAGTAGCCAAATTTGGCCCATAAGTTGTATATACCAGTCCCTGATATATAGACCTAAACAGACAGGGGTGGGGGTGGGGTGGGAGTCAGATAACTGTGTGTTTAACATCTCTTTCTTTTCTTTTTTTTTTTTAATTTTAATTTATTTTTTTTTAATTTACATCCAAGTTAGCCTATAGTGCAACAATGATTTCAGGAGTAGATTCCTTAATGCCTCTTCCCCATTTAGCCCATCCCCCCTCCCACACCCCCTCCAGTAACCCTCAGTTTGTTCCCCATAATTATGAGTCTGTTATGTTTTGTCCTCCTCCCTGTTTTTATATTATTTTTGCTTCCCTTCCCTTATGTTCATCTGTTTTATGTCTTAAAGTCCTCATATGAGTGAAGTCATATGATATTTGTCTTTCTCTGACTAATTTTGCTTAGCATAATACCCTCTGGTTCTATCCACGTAGTTGCAAATGGCAAGATTTCATTCTTTTTTATTGTAACATCTTTTTCTTTAAAATAAAATTAATTTTTTTTAGTTTTGGGGGGGGTTTTTGCTGTTGTTGGTTTTGAGAGACAGAGTGCACACACTCAAGCAGGAAAGGGGAGAGCAGGAAGGAGAGAATCCCAAGCAGGCTTTGTCAGTGAGGAGCCTGACTCCGGACTTGATCACTCAAACCCGTGACATCATGACCTGAGCCAAAATCAATAGTTGGATGCTTAACCAACTTAGCCACCCAGGTGCCCCTAAAATAAAATTAATTTAATTAATATAATACAAGACTGATTTTTAGGAAATTACTCATAATGTGTTTTTATCTACAGATTTTCTCACCAAAGGTTTTTATATTTATTTTAATACTTTAGATTTAAAAAGTCAATCTTAAAAGCACTTAGCCCTATTAATATGCAGTCTTATTAAACCGATTTTTATTTTGCTTTTGACTGATTAAACTAGACTTGCGACATTACAACTGACTTTTATTGAAAATCTCTAAATTCACTTTGCTTTTCTTCTTTTATTTATTTTTTTTTTAATTTTTTTTTTCAACGTTTTTTTTATTTTATTTTTGGGACAGAGAGAGACAGAGCATGAACGGGGGAGGGGCAGAGAGAGAGGGAGACACAGAATCGGAAGCAGGCTCCAGGCTCCGAGCCATCAGCCCAGAGCCTGACGCGGGGCTCGAACTCACGGACCGCGAGATCGTGACCTGGCTGAAGTCGGACGCTTAACCGACTGCGCCACCCAGGCGCCCCTGCTTTTCTTCTTTTAAAATGTCAACTCCATTGGACATTTTTTAAATGATGTATCCCATATATTACATGTACATCTCCTATCTGGTTGTACTTCAGATCATTTAAAAATATGTGTTATTTGGGAGCCAGAGACGATAACAGTTCTAGTAGGAATTCCTGTCACAAATCTGTGTTTGCTTTCCCATGAGCCATCTTTAGATTTTATGTCAATTTGATAGGAAATCTCTAAAATTTTTTTCCCTGTGTTTATGAACTCTAAATACTTAATGACAAACAAATGTACCCTCGCCTCAACATGTGAAAGCTAGAGAAACTCCGGAGAGAGCAACAAATCCTTAGCTGAGCCTGTTAAGTCTAGACTCCAGATAACATAGTAATTTTACTGGAAATCTATAACCACAGCAGGCAATACAATTCCAGTGTTTCTTAAAATGTTTGCAAAGTAAGATTTAAGAGTAGTTTAGCACTCGGCAAGCTAAGTTGTTTCGCTAATAATCATGGGGAAAGCATTTCTAAAATTCAGGCGTCATTGTGAACCTTAATCTTTAAGGTTGCGATTGCTAGTTGTAGTATTTCACAGATTTGTCAAATAAAATGTTGGCAGATCCTTGAGAGCCAGGACTTCTGGTCATTGAGAAAGTAGTTTGAAATGATACTTATTGATCTTAAGTATTTCAGAAGGTTGTGGCCTTAATTTGCCATAAAACTACAAATAAATTGAACAGTCTTCATCTCTTTTACAAGAATCCATTGAATGCACCAGGTGCAGAAGTGGTCAATCTTTTCTTCTTATTCTAAGATTAGAGAGTCAACCTAGAAATTCATCCTACAATACTGGTTTGGGAATTAGGAAGAAAGGAAGTATTTACTCAGAATATACTGTGCATCAGGCCGTAAGTTACCTAATAATAAGACCTCAGCATAGTCCCTCAGGGTGTAGGCTGCCATGGTCTAAACATTTGTGTCTCCCCCTCCTCTGCCATAATTCATATGTTGAAACCTGAATCCCACGGTGATGGTATTAGGAGGTGAGGCCTTTGGGAAGTGATGAGGTTATAAGAGCAGAGCCCTCAATACTGGGATTAGTGCTCTTATAAAAGAGACCCCAGAGGGCTCCCTGACTCCTTTCCATCATGTGGAGACACAGTGAGAAGTCAGCAGTCTGCAGCCAGGAAGAGGACCTTTGTTGGAACCCACCCATGCTGGCACCTGGATCTTGGGCTTCCATTCTCCAGGATGGTGAGAAGTAAATTTCTGTTGTTTATAAGACACCTAGTCTGTGGTGTTTTGTTACAGTAGCTTGAGTGGTCTAAGACAGTGGCCCTTGTTCA